GTACGAAAGAGGAAGGATAAGGGAGAAAGGGGAAGACATTGAGTATCCCTTGCGGAGGAGCGTACGATATAAGGAAAGAAGGAGAGGACATTATTCCTCCTTCTCTCTCCTCAGATTTATCCTCCTTGTTACTAGGTTGGCTAGCTAGTTACAGAACTCTTTCCAAACCCTCACACGTAACGCTTATATTCTTAATAGTCGTTATAACTTAGATCGCTTTATTAATCTAGTTCTCGATCTTCTTACTCTTATACGTCCTTATTTCCTACTTAATCGCTAGCTTAAGGCCTTCGTAAAAGATAGGAACTAATACGCCGTCGCCCTATCCTAGTTCTACGTTTAGAGTTCGGAATTTTATAGTATAATCTTAAACTAAGTCCGTCTAGCGTAGGTTTATAATCTATCGCTCTACTTCTTTTTCTTCGTCTCTTACTCCGAATACCTTCCTTATCTTCTCCTTAAACTCTTAGAAGGTTTAAAATAGCTCGGTAGTTTTATCTTCTCTATCGTCGGGTTAGTTTTCTATATAGTCCTTAATAAACGGACGAAGCTAGGCCTCTACTCCTACCTCGAAGTAACTTTCTATAAAGAGAATCTTTTATATGTCGCTAGGGAAATCTCCTAGGTTTATTAATAAGTATATATCTATATAGTAGATAAAAGACGTAAGTTTTTCCTACGCTCTATTAAAGGGCTTAAGTAGGTTACTAATCTTACCCTTAAGTATTAGTTCCGCGGTAGTAGTAGCGACTAATGGCGTTAGTCTTAATGTACTAGGAGTAGGAGTACTAGGTCCTACTATCGTATCGTTTAGGGATAGTCGGGATGCCTATCTTATAAGGAGTTTATCTATCGGGGATGTAAGTCTTATTTATTTTCCGTAACTACTTATAGAGATCGTTCCTCGTACCGGTAGGTAGTAGTTAAAGTATTAGAGCTACTTCCTATATTAGCCTAACGTAGTTAGGCCTCTTTAGTTATAGTCCTTATATTATATAAGCTAGGCCGAGGATACGTAAGGTATAAATAGTCGATGACTTCAGAATAGTATAGTAAAGTAGATGTTATAAGTTAGCTACGAGAGAGTGTAACTATAAAAGGGTAATAAGCGTAGCTATATACTTATAAGATATACCCCGAATAGGTAACTGGGAATAGTATATCGATATGTTGATATAGTCTATACTAATATATCGCTATATCGAAAGTTTCCTCTTTTAGTAGTCACGTACGGCACGTGATCTAGCCTCGTCCTTTTACCAGGCTGCCCTGTCCCGGCAGACCTGCCTCTGGGCGCCCCGCGCTCCAGGTCATATGAAGGCCGTTTCTAACACCTAAGCCGAGTGTCCAGTATCACGTGGGTATTCGTAATACGGAGATGCTTATGCCGAGTACGAGTATGTTTCTAAGCCTCGGGATGTAGACGATGATTCCTCTAAAGAAAGCTCTTTACCTAGATCTTCGGAGATTTAAGGTGGTTAATTATATCTACATTTAATAGTTCTAAGTAACCTACACCCTAGTATAGTTAATGAGGAGTTAATGTACCCTAATAAAGAAGTCTCAGAATAGATGAAGACTAGCCACGGTTTATTAGTATGCGAGCCCGACCCTAGAGTTCGACGTAACTGTTAGGATCCTGATCCTCGTGGTCAACCCATCTCTCGTGATTCTGAAACTATAGAGTTATAGATATCACTTGCGTCGTGTAGGAGTCAGTCTTAGAGCTTGGCGAGGTGGGCGACGAAACGACATCAAGGATAGGTTTAAAAGCGTCGTCTATATAGAGCTTACTCTTGATAGGAGTCGAATCTACAAGTGTTGTCTTTACCAAAAGTTCTGTGATATCATTCATTATTGCGTCTGGCATAGAATAATAGATATTACATCTGTTGACACGACTTGAGGTGCGTACTGTATATCTGCTACCCTTGGGTCTAGAGATGGAGAATGGAAAGTCCCCGTGTCGAGGTTCCGATGTCGAAATTCCTGGACTTTGCCCTCCCTTCACATCCCACACGCTTGTGATGAGTCTTGTTAATAATCTCAAGTTCAGTCTTCCCTCTTCCAAATTCCCCAGGATTACAACAAAACGTGTGGTGATGTTCCCACGCATTAATGCAACGTGACAGCTTCTATGGCAAGTCATCATCCTCGTACGGATCATTGAAATCAGAAAAGTCCAGCTCATCGCTCTCGACGGAGGCCAAATCGTCGAGAATGTCGCCCTCCTCCAAGGACATGGCTTCGGGTGTTCGGCGGCCTCTGGAGCCCTCGCGTCCTCGTTCTGGCTCGTTCGTAGAAGCTGACCTGGGTGAGCTGGGGGCTGAGGGATCCTGGAATTCCTGCTCGTGACCCTCACGGAATTTGAAGTCGTGGGGTCGGCCGTCTTCCTTCCTGATTTGGGAGTGGTACTCGTCGATTCGACCGTAGCATTTCTTGCAAACATTAAAGTTGTCGCAGGATTGGCATTGGAATGCCTGGCCGAACACGGTCTATCCATTTCGGATCAGCCGCCTCAGCTCCAACTGACAGTGTGCACAGACGGGGGGAAGGAGTGCGGAGACGATGATCATTAAAAATAGAGGAGAAGAAAACGGGTCGGCTTACTGTCAAGCATACATCACAGGAGATCGCGCAAGCAGTGTATTTCTTGCCTTGAGTCTCAGGGTCGATTGTGACTTTTTTGGCGTCGCTACTAGGATTTCCTTCTAGGCCATGAGTCAGGAGGCCGATAATCTCGTCGTCGGCGTTGCACAATTTAGCGAGTTTGAGGGGCGTGAATGTCTCAGCTGAATCTCCCTGACCCATCCTACATTCAACTGCGCGATCTGCTCCATTTTTAAGAAGACACAGAACCGTTCCGGCATAATCACGCTCTTCGGACGTCATAAATCTACCAGTGAAAGGTCGACAAGCCCAACAAAGCGCCGTCCAGCCATCAACGTCGGGTCGGTTGGTGTATTCTTTTCTCTCTCGCGCAGTTGCGAAACTTTTGAAGATGTCCTCCACCGTTTCGACGTGGCCGAATTGTGCGGCCCAATGGAGGACATTCTTTCCGAACCGGTCCGAGATCATGAGGTCCTCCCTGTGGGCTAATTTGACAAATTCAAAGTTTCTGATGCCGTTGGCAGCCGCGAAATGGATGGGGACACGTCCCAGGGGATCTTTGTCCTTGGTTGACGCCCCAACAGTGAGCAGGTAGTCGATAACGCCAGGTCCTCCAGCCAAGGCTGCGGCACAGATTGCGTTGTACACGGTGGTCCCATGCATTGCCTTTACGTCCGCAGGGTGTTCAGGATGTTCGACTAATTTACGCACAACTCTCTCCATTAGTCTAAGATGTTCGCTGCGCACCGACCCGGAGGGAAAGCAGCTGGCAATCAGGGGAGTACTTTTGAGTTCCAAGACGTAGTGGTTAGGGTCTGCACCGTGACTCATAAGCTTGGTGATGTCGCTGAGGCTGAGTCTCCGGCATGCAATATGGAGAGCCGTTCCCACCTTCCCCTGGATGTTGACCTTGATACCTGGCTGGGAAAGAAGAAAGTCTACCGCGCCACTGGGCATGCTGCCATTCACTGCCTTCATCAGGGGAGTCCAGCCTCTTGGATCTTGTGCGTTGATGTTGGCCCCGGCTCTGACGAGAAGTTTGACGTTCTCCATTTGGCTATCCGACGTGACTCCCAGCAGGGGCGTCTCTCCGTCTTCATCGCACTTTTCCAGGTCGAGAGCACCGTGGAACTCTAGGAGGATTTTGAGGATTTCTGGACTGCTGGTGGCTGCCAAATGGAGAGGAGTTCTGCCATCGTTAAGAGTGTCCTCAAGGTTAGCACCACTTTCCACAAGAATTCGTACGATCTCTGCGTCCGGAAAGTATCCTATGGCATCTAGAAGGGGAGGCCAGCCAAATTGGTCACGGTGGTGAATGTCCACCTTCCTGCTGGCCAGTAGTCTCACCAAATCTGCTTTTCCATCTCCGACAGCAATGTTGATGATCGTTTGTTTGCTACTGTTGGTCAATTCGGCGTTGGCACCCGCTTGAAGCAGCATTTTGACTATAGATGCATCGTCTGCAGCGATTTGAAGCAGTGTCTCTCCCGAGCTGGTGAGCCGATCAAGCTCGGGCTTCCACTCCAGTAACTCACGCAAGACTTCGACGTGGCGAATTTCGATGCCATAATACAATGCTCCTATCCCAGCATCGTTGGTGAAGTTGACATCCGCACCATGCTCGAGCAGCCATTTGACCACAGCAGTCTCCCCCGCACGGGCGGCATGCATAAGGGGTGTCATCCCGCTGTCTGGATCAGCCTTGTCAAGTTGAACTGGTGGATCGTTGTCGATAAGGAGGTCGAATATTGCGAGCCTATCTTCCACCGGAACTCCGGACTGCATCATTTCGACAAGTAGCGGAGGGTCGATCAACTCATGATTGGGATCTGCTTTTTTGTCCAGGAGGACTCGGACGCTCTCGAGACTCGCGGCTCTGACGGCTGCAAACCAGAGAGGAGTGTCCCCAGATGGGCCACTGATGTTGACGTCGGCCTTGTGGATGAGAAGGACTTCGATTGTTTTCACTTGGCCGAACGCAGCCGCTGCTATGAGTGGAGCCCACCTGTCGCCAGAGCCTGGTCCAATGCCAGAATCTGGATCCGCCTTGAGCGCACACAATGTCTCCACGACCTTCCAGTTCCCACGGATCGACGCTATGTACAAAGGCGGGTTCGGCTTTTGAAGTTCCAAAAGGGAGTCGTCCTTCTCTAACAACGCTTCGATAACATCGATGTGACCGTTGCCTGCGGCGGTGTATATCGAATTGTACGTCTCAGCTCGGAGGACATCTACTTTCGCTCCGTAGCTTAACAACGCTCTGGTGATCTTTGCGTAGCCCATACGAGCGGCCATATAGAGAGGTGATGGGAAGAAGCGAGAAGCATTGTCGTCGGGGTCTGGATTCATCCCGTTTTCAAGGAGGAGATCGACCAGCAGGTCCATGTTGAGCCATGTCGCCATCCATAAAACTGATGAAGGCCACGGAATGTCCGACATATCCCCTGGGTGGTCTTGGTCGCCTTGAATTGTTTGTTGGGTTTTTGCAGCAGATACGATCTGACTGGCGCGAACCAGCGCCAGGTCTTGATTACCGGCTCTGGTGGCTTCGACGAGGGCGCTGATCTCTGAAAGCTTGCGGATAGGTCCAGAGTCTTTCTTTCCATCTGTTTTGTCAGGCCAGGTTCTCTTGAACTTCCTGAGAATTTTGACTGCACTTGGCCTCAGATTTTCAGATGCAAGAAGTGTTTCAGAAGCGGAACTGAGCGTTTCTAGGCAAGGTCTTGAGAAAGGATTGCTCATGGCCCAATATACCTTCATCCACAATGCCATTGGCCCCTGACAAGAAATCAAATCATTCTCCAGCTTCTTCAGAACCAGTGGATTTTCCGATAGGTGGCACGGAAAAGCTTGGACTGCGTAGAAGACAATGTCTTGGCCGTCCGGACAAAGGGGAGGTGTGATTTCATCACCAGAGGCATGGACCAGGGATTCGTACTGACTGTATTTAGAATTCAGATGTTCCTGGACTTCAGGCATAGAAAGATAGGCAAGGATGAAGTTGAGAATAGTGCCGGATGCTGTCGATCGTACCTCATCCCACAAGTGAGCCATGCCTGGTTCGAGGAGATCCCATATGTCATCTCGAATACAGACTTGGTCGTGGCTGAAATCGACAAAACCACAAAGCCAGATATCAAGCTGGCGGATGGCGTCTTGTAGATCGGTGCTTGATGGTGTAACAAAAGTCCATTCCTCTGTGCGTTGGTAGTGACACAGTAACACTGCGAGCTCCCTTCTGGTCAATGGGCGGTATCCACACAAGAGCCATTTCAAGATCCATCGGAAGCGGCCTTGATCGTGATTAGATCGCAGAATTTGGTCCAAGACCATAGCCGGAGTGGAAGACGGAGTTACCAGTTCTATCAGGGAGCAGAACTTAGACAGAGTCTGTACCGATGCTGCTTTGGGCCAGGTCGTATGATCTTTGATCAGCTCGAGAGATTTGATCAGCGTGTCTTTACTCATATCCATGAGCTTTTGTAGGCTCTTTCGGATTCGAGCTTCTCCATGGCCACTTGGACAGAGGCTAGAAATCAGTGTATCGAGGTATCCTTCATCAGATGCAGCGTTCCAGTCTTCTATGCTAGCGGGTAAGGTATACTGGTGAACTGGGATATCTGGCCATGCTTTAATTTTGTCATGCAACGGCCGACTGGGTCCAGAAGTTACCACAAGAGCCAGCGAGTCTTCTGTGGTGGCCGCAATGCCGTTCAACATGGTCAAGAATTTTTCCCAACCTTCGCATTGGTCGATGTCCTGGAGAAGAAACAGGGCGTCGGCCCCAGAATAATAGATGTCTTGCACCAAGAAGAGGTTTAGCAGATCCTTCTCGGTCCATCTATGATGAAGCTGAAACTGGTCTTGTATGATTTGGAAGTCGGCGTCGAGAGGTCCAGCCACATAGCCCGCACAGTTTTGGAGAATCAGTGAACTGAGAAAGTCGACTGTCGAATCGCGGGTTGGGTCTTGCGATGAGAAGGAGAAAGAGAAAATCCTTGATCCGTACAACTTCTTGTCTCGTTGCGCGGCTTGCCAAGAGAGATAAACCTGTTCTGCTGCCTCACTCGTTGCCCGGTGGTTTTTGCCGTGGATGTACAGTATCCGGGGGCCGCTCGAGGTTCTCCACTCCTTATGCTCAGAACTCATCAGCACAGAGTGGGAGGGTTGCAGGGACTTGGATTGCATCTGGCGATGAGGAAGAGCAAGGGAAAGGAGCGATTGCTCCAGCGGCTGCCATTGTGGAAGGGGGGAACAATCTAGACTTGTCAGAATCAGAACAACTTCTCAGGATGGCGTGGACTTGCATTCTAATAGATAGCATATCATCTCACCTAAGGCGGGAAATCGCTCCGCCTCATCCTTTCCTTCCAGCACCGGATACTCGCGGGGAAGTCCGAGGGTGGCAGTGAAGTATTCGAATACCTTCGCGAAGAGTGAGTGATGTACAAAAGATTTGTGTTTGTTGGTTCCAAACAATACTTACAGAATGTATCGTTCCGCGACCAGTTTCATTGGCATATAGACTGAAAATCCGAGTTCTCATTGAAATCCTAGAAGCAACGAAGAGCTCGGTCGTTATTCTTGTTGCGGTCGCGAGGCTCTCGATGGACGTAGGTGTCAGAAGATGTGCCCACGCGTCATCCTTTCTATCACGCAAAAACTTAAACAGCTTCAGTTTGAGTGCTTGAACTTCCTCACTACGCTGGAAGCAGCCCGAAAACACCTGTGGCGTCTGTCAGAGAATGACTCCATCGAGAAATTGCAACAAAGCCTTGCAGATCTCAACGAAAGAGCTCTAATCGAGACGACGTAACTCGCCTGTCCATCACAGCGCATCATGAGAGTGCAACAGATGTGCGGGCACATACAAATCGGGCAGTCCTGCTAAAGATCCCTGGCCATCGAGACTGGAACTGCCCAGCAATTGAAATAGCCTTGTAGCAATCCAGTTAGCACCAATTCTGGACTCGTCCGGATGCAGGTGAGTGATTCATACATTCTTGACTATCAGCGCCCCGAGATCGTAGGCGACAAAAACCATGGCACGTCTTGTCAGCTGCTTCATGTGTTAACTCAATACTTACTCCTATACTTGGAAGAGCACATTGGAATTCTCACCTGTTTGTCATGCCGCTGGAAACAGGTCAGGCCACGAAGCAGTTGAAGCGATTGGCTTTCTATTGACTCAGTTGCGAAATCACCGACAAGTAGACTGGCGACGTCGGCTTTGAAAATGAATTCCCTTCTCTCGCACTCGACCGACGATGCGAGAAGAGTGTTCATCGTGAGTCGCTTTTCTTCGGAGTCCACTCCCAGTACGTGGACAACACTGTGACCCCAAGCGTGAGCGCATGAGAGATGGGAGAGCGGACGGACTCATCCTCTTACTCGATGTTCACTTCCTCGCCCTCAGAGGCCAAATGCCCGGCCGAAGAATACGACAGCTTCAGGCCTTCGTGCAAGTGGCCTTCGCTCAGCCTGGAGGTGTCTGATCCCAAGGGAGACTGCGGGGCAGAGTTGTCATGCATCGATGAATGTTCACGGTCCGAGCCGTCCGCGCCGTCCGCAGCCTCTGAAAGCGGCGGGTCGTCGACATGGTCTCCAATTGTTGGTCCATCCGATTCGAATCGTAGCGCAGCCATGACCAGAGGTGGAGAAAACGTGCAAGTACGGGAATTTTGCTGTCGGGTACGTAGTACAGGGACGAAGGAAATTGATTGTGACGGTTAGACTTCGTTCAGCGTGACGATGGGATGGGCCTGCACGGAATAATCTGGAGGCGGCTGAGAAGGCTGCAGGCATGAACTGCCATCAACCGGAGTAGGCACAGGATGCGCATCGTGATTCAACCGACATAGGGAGTGCTGGTTCAAGTTTCGTGCAGGTTGTTTACGGTTTTAGGCAATTACTGTGGCGATTCAAGTCTGGAACCAGCCAGAGGTCCCGTCGGGGGAGAGAGGAGGCATGAAGAGCATTAACTAGCCTAACCAGTACGGAGTACCACTTTCTTACTCATTTCGCGCCTTCGGCCCTCGGAAGATCCCTGACAGGGATTGGCAGAGACCAGTCGAGGGCATCCCTTGCATCCAGATCAATCAGATGCTGGAGGCCAAGACAGTGCAGTGCGACAGAAATCAAACTAACTACTGCACGAGGAGGGAACTTGTGTTTCTCAGGGGCGCCTCAGGCCGCCGAACCGCTGTTGATGCCCAACCTCACTCCAGAAGAGTCGTAGCGTGGATGCGCAGATCATGATTGGGAGAAAACGTGAAAGTAGGTCCCTGTGCACTCTGACCTGAGCTGGAGGAGAGGGGCAGACATCATATTCTGGTGGCACGGCACTAGTTGAGCAGCTGGATCCTCTGCACCGAGTGGGTACATTATACCTCTGACCCATTACACCCGTCTCTTAGACCGAACGCGGAAACCTGCTCGATTCACGCTGGTGTGGCTGTAACCTAGTCCTTATATAGACCTCCTCTAGAAGCCTTGCGCTGTCCTTCCTCTCGCATATATTCCATGGATGAGGACCAGATTTGGCTGAGTGAAGAGGAGGAAGAAGAGGAGGGCAACTCCGTCGGTCCTACATTCTTTAGTCTTGCCCTGACCTTACAAGACCAGCCTGGAGGTAAACGCTGTTCAAATCTGTTTCGCTCACATTACGCCTCACCTAGACTGAGCTAGTCGAAAACTGACAGTCACCACTAGGATACCATGTCCGCAATCGTCCAGGCCAACGCCAGCGGGCGGCAGTCTCAGTCATTCGGGGAGGGTCAGGAAGGAAGCCTGTCTTCACGGTGTCTTGCAACGCCAAAGTCATGATCCACGGCACAATGGGACCCTCTACGCAGAAACCGGCAACACTTCTCGTCTACGAGTTCAAGTTCAATTCGTACCGAGGGAAGCGCATCAAAGAAGCTGACATTACCTTCGAGTTCCGCCCGAGGGAGGGAAAGCCTGGCGGTCCGTCCGTGAAACATGTCTGGCCGCAGGGACTGTACAAGATGGAGGAGACAACCCAGAAGGATACATCAGAGTGGGGGGCGGGAATAGCACCCAAGTTTGCCGCCATCGATCCCGGAGTTAACATGACGTGGAAAGGGTCGATTGACAAGGAATCGAAGCATCACACAGTTGTCTCGGGAGATAACCCTCAAGACCCGGACTGGGGTGACTTCTTCCAGGCTCGCTTCTTCCTGTCGGAAAACAAATCGCAGTCGAGTGGCATCCCCAACAAATTCACTGCGTGCATTCTGCTCCAGCGACCCGACGACGCGGACTTCGAGTGTGTTCCTTATATCACGGTGACACCTGCTTTCTCGACCATGGTAGCGTCTTTGTTTTCCAATAGGCCTCCGGATGACCCGATTGTGTTCAGCATCGGGGAGGATCCCGTTAACGAGACCGACCCCAGCGTGGAAATTGTAAGGGAAAACCTCGCAGCTACCCAGTTTGAGAAGTTGTGGGGATGTACCTTGTACACACAATATGATGAAGCTGTGAAGGGAAGGAAGTAGAGGAGGGCCACTGCGGAGGTCGAGGCTGGTGCCGTGTTACCCAAAGCACCGCACCGGCACACGGTAGAGGGTGCAACGAGCTGGAGGGGCTCTGGCTCTCATGCAGAATTACGAATTGCAGCTATACCGTCCTTGGGTAGTCATTCCCCTCCTCACTTTTCCTCCACCACCTTTCCGCCCCTCTATCATTCCACCTCCACCCGTAGCGCAGCGGTGTTCGACAACTGTCATGTAGCTAAGCAAGCCACCTGCAACAATAGCCTCACGAGCCAGTCGACAAGCATAAATGCGATCGCGTGACGATGCGCCGTGTTACTGCACATGCCTCAAGCACTGGCGCACACGCAACCCACCCTTCTGCCACCTCTCCCACTCGCCAGTCTCTTCGAGGGGCCGGAAACGAAGGTCGTCTCACTGATCAGTTGAAGCCTGAAGCGTGAAGCCTCGGAGTGACCATTTCGCCAACCCCCATCCACCCATCCTTTACAGCACTGTACACGCCTCGTCTGTCGAATTCGCATTATCCTTCATCCTCAGCTTTTCTGGAGAATTTTCAGTCTCTTCTTGTGGGCACGGAAAGTTCAAGTCACACTTCTGGCTCGCATCTTTGACTTCTCAAGGCTGTGGCCAGTGCCTCTCGAGTGGGGACAAGTAAGCAGCTCTACGACTTGACCTAGTCTAATTCCCTTCTTCGTCCGTTGCGCTCTCCCTCACCGCCTTGGTAACTGCTTTTATTATATCAGCTTTGCATTGTGGCGATCAGCAAGATCACTCAATGGAGGATGAAGTGAGTTTGGATGACAGCTTGAACGGTATCGATTCAGAGAGCAGTGATGAAGATGTCGACGAGCTGGGTGAGGGTGAGGGAGGAGAGATCACAGCGAAAGCACTTACAGACGTGCCTAATGAAGAGACAAGGTTTCTGGCGCAAAGCTGGGAAGAGAGATGGAAGGAGGTCATGGAGCTACTAGCGACAGGCAAGGCGCGATGGGACGAGTCTGGTGATCCACATACCGACCTTCTGGAGGACTACAAGAAGGAGGTGTTGAAGGGGCGAGATGAGCGCGAGAAAACAACGCCCACAATTCTCCACATGTTGGCGAAGAATCTCAAAGCGAACGACTTCAAAAATGTACCGGATAACATTCTTAAAAAGGTCATCCTCTATCTTCTCCAGCCCCGAGAGAACACTTCTTTGACCACCGAAACAAAACTTTCAGAGGAAGACCCAATTTTAAAGGTGGCAATGAATTTCGACAACGACAAATTCATTGATTATATTCTGGCCCTTGCCCCCGGTAAATTGCCAGACCTGCTTGATGCTCGAGATGCGGCCCAGTCGAATTGCCTTCACTATGCTTTTAAGGTCCAATTGCACAAAGTCATACATAAAGTTCCGAGGACCAGACAGAAAATGCAAGTCGTGCAACCCAAGAGACCGTCCCTGACAAATACTCTTAAAATACTCGCGCAGTTTGTCAAGAATGCCAAGGCTAAGACTATCGCCGCAATTGACAAAGAGGGGAATACTCCTGTCCACTACGCCCTTGACTATGAATTATGCTCTATGAAATCAAAGGCAGAGAATTATGGCAGAATAGTCAAGCATTTGATCCTCCGAAGCGACCAACTCCGGAAGCAGATGCCTGCCAATGAGTTCAATTTGAAGAATGAGTCACCCTATCTTTACTTCCTGCGCACCAAGAAGGAATGGATTGGGGAGAATAAAAAGCCGCCTCGCGAAGAGAAGTCGATCATTAAGCTTCCAAAGAAAGACACTACGTCCGGGGCCAAGGAGACCAAGGAGATCAAAGAACCAGAAGCGATCCGCGAGATAAACAACGATGCTGAGACGGATCCGCCACAGCCACTGGAAAAGGGAGCAAAAATGCCTGGAGCAATTGCGCCAACTGAATATCAGGGCGTCTCGGAAGTTCAACCCACGGGCTCCATATTGCAGCCACAGCGGAGAGAAAAGCCGACGACAGCACCTGGAACTAAGAAACTGAATCAGAGCTACCCAGGATCTCGCGTTATCCCTCCGACGGCTGCTGAACCAACCCCTACAACCGCTAAAGCATATCCTGCTTCATTGAATGCAAACAATACTCCTCCTGAACCTTTGGCCAGGCAAAAGACACTTACTTTTGAACACATTCTCGCTGAGGTGCCATCAGGCTTTGCGACTCAGCCAATTCTTTTACCCAAGACCCAAATTCCTGAGAATGAGAAACAAAGTGCCCCGTCAAGATCAAACGCAAATACTAAAGACGCGGGGGCAGTGGCAGAGGAGATCCGGGAATTTCTCAAACTCCATTACATTCGCACAAGGTCAGAAATGGAAGCGAAAGAACTACTCTATGGTAAAGTGGCCTCAGGTAAGTCTCCATTTAGGGTCAACGTTATACAAGACTTAAACCAGATCTGGGGGACGATCGCATGTCGTGCCTCTCGAAGTCGCTGGTCTCAATTCTAACCCACCAATCACTCTAGACAAGAACCTGTACTTTGATGCTACAAACCACCGATTGAAGAGCGTCGATCAAGTCTGCGACCTGATCGAGAAGTTGTCAGCGAGTAAATTTGAAGACACACTATCCTACGTCAATATACCCGCTTTGAGCCACGTACAGGACAAGGCAAGCACACCTAAGCAAGATGGCGGCTCGCAACAAGAGAATCCATGCCTGGGACATAGTTCATTAGTATCAGTCTTTGATAAGCTGGTGTCTGTGGATGTGCGCAATATCTTACGATTGCATGTGGAGGACAGAGACCCAGATGTGCCGGCCCACACTGATGCTGCAATCGAAAGGGCTATTCTCGGCCAAGAGTTCTTTGGGAGCGGAAATACTAGGAAAGAGGCCATCAAGGTGGAACTCTGGTATGTGGCGTTTCATCCAATCCCTGCCTAAAAAAGGCATCGGAGCGTGCTCACTACGAGTTAGGGACTGGAAAAAAATCGACTTGAGTATCGATGTCATTCGATTTGCTGCGCCTGAGGTGGTACAGGTCAACCTATATTGGAGTGGAAACAAGACCGTACTCACAGCATGGGCCTGTGCAGAGGGAATCCCGCTGTTGCATCGAGTATCACAGGGGAAATTGAAGACTGTCATTCTTCACGCAACTCCGGTACGTTCATATCCAGCCTCTCGAGTTTGAAGCTTGTCCGCGAGTTTTCCACACGTGCCATTCAGAGCCACAACATGGCTGAACTTTTTCGTCTCGTCACTAGGGTATTGAGAGCCGCGAGAGAATGATTAAAATGATCGAGAATTTCAAAAAGGAGATCAAAGAACGGACAGAAGAGAAAGTCAAAGTTGAGCATAGGCTTTATATGGAAGGCTTTCCAGTGGGCTCCAAATTGGATGACGATGGTCACGCTACCGCTGGAGGGTCACAGGGTGCTCCCCAACACGATTGGGTGGAAACAATGGTGAAGTTTAGACATACATTGTCTTCTCTTCATGGTCTGCTCGGTGACAAGGCTCCGGAGCCTCAACGCATAAAGGTATGTGGTGACCATGCTCAGAAAATCACCCTTTGCTACCTCTGGACCTCCTTGCAAGCCGCGACCATGTTACATACTTATCCTTGCACAGGTGGCATTGATAGATGACGGCGTTGATCTCAGCAATCTGGATACATACGGCAAAGTCGTGAAGGCGTCAGGGCTGAGCTACTGCCCTCCGAGTAAAAGAATGGAAAAACCGTGGCACGAATCTACCAACGGACACGGCACCATCATGGCCAATATGATTGTCCGCATCAATCCCTGGGTTTCGCTCGACGTCATGAGGATTCACGACAGCAAGTGGCACCACCCCGATGGAGAAGTTCGCACCATCAACGCGGGGAGTGCAGCAAAAGCAATTGAGGGTGCGATTCTCCGCCAGGCAGACATCATCTCCATGTCGTGGACCATCAGGAACCTTGCACAGAAACAGTCAGCATCATCCAGCAATCAGAACGACAAGAGTGGCAAAGACGAGATCAAGTCACCCCAGGAAATCGCCATCAATGCTCTGCAGACGGCTATTGACCGGGCAAGGGAAGCCAAGATCCTCATGTTCTGCTCAGCCGCAGACGACATCAAGATATTGGGGAAGGACTCGCTTCCCTTCAGCCGAGCGCCAGATTATATCTTCCGGATCGGCGCAGCTCTGAACAAGGGCCAGCGTGACCCTGAATCTGAAGACCCAAAGTCCATGACTTACTACTTCCCCGGCAACCAGGTCGCCGAAGAATGGAATCCTCGCTCGGGTAAGACAGTACAGTACCACAACGGCTCGTCCGTGTCGACCGCGCTCGCCGCCGGCTTCGCCTCGCTGATCATGTACATGAACAACATGATGCGAGCCCGCTACAAACCGATTCGAACGGAACCAAAAGAATACGACACCTTTGACGAATGGGCCCGCGGGCTGAAAGATTCCGGAAACATGCGTAGGGCGTTTAATAACAACAACAATCGCCGACCCAACACCGACCCCAAGTTTCTCCCTGTCTGGAGTACCTTTGGAGAGGTGGCTGAGCGGATCAACAACGAGATCGATCGTGAGCGTAAATTGGGTGAGTTGGAGAAACTCGTCCGATCGCTCTGTCACTGGCTTGATAACGATTAAAGAAGTAAAAGGGGAAGGCCGGGAGGTGGAAGATGGGCTGCCTTTCTCTACTTATGTTTTGTCTGTGTGTGTTTGGTGTCCATTCGAGCCGGGCGTTGTATTGGATAACTATTCCGGGTTCTCGCCAACTAGGGTGTACACGCACAAATCACCCCCTGGGTCTAAAACTTATCTAGTTGATCCTAGTCCGCACGCAGGAGACATTGCTCGGAGGTAAATTGGCAATTACTGGCGGGTGCCAGTTACAGGGCCCCTGGCCCAGATATGGGCACGACTGACCCGTTGCTCAGGCTGATTGAACAACGTAATCAGTCACGTGCCGGACTTGCTCAGGTTGAGGCGGTGACGCTCAGGTCGTGCTCAGGTCCAAAAATGGAAATGGAAGGTGCTCTTGTCGAGATTCCGACGTCGAAATTCCTGCTTCTGATGCTCAAGGTCAGGCCTAGTGAGCCTCAAGTTTAGCCACGGCTATCCGCTTGAACATGGTCCAATAAGGTATCTGCCGGCCCGCTTTTCTGACAGTCAGAAACAAGGCAAGCAGTCCAGAATCAGCCAGGAAAGCGTAGATATAGGTCAGAAGTTAGACCAGCAATTTCAAATCAAGGTCAGGTCCAAGGTCTATTGTCCGTCCGTTCGGGTGAAGAGTTGGGAGATGGCAAGGTATAAATGAAGGAATCGTCGCACCGCTACCAAAGGCTTCAACAAGACTCGCACAACAAAAAACCGAGCAAGGACACAGTATTTTCACACCAAACCTTCAATCTCAAGCAGAATGTCGAAGCCATCAATTCTCCTTGTCCCGGGTTCCTTCGCCCTGCCCGAGTTCTATGACACAGTCATCAACCCCATAGCCGCAAAAGGGTACGAAATAAAAGGCCTTCACAAGCCAAGTGTGGGCATTGCAAGCGGAAAACCTCGGGAAGGAGCACCACCAACCATGTATGACGACGCCAGCTTCATCGCCAAGGAGGTCGAGAAGCTCGCAGACCAAGGAAAGGACGTGATCCTCGTTAGTCATTCGTATGGAGGCGTCCCTGTGACAGAGAGCACCAAGGGATTGAGTAAAGAAGAAAGGCAGAAACAGGGAAAGAAGGGCGGGATTGTGAATTTGGCGTACATGACGGCTCTGGTGCCAGCTATTGGGCAGACAGCAAAGGATGTTCTGGGAGATGTTCCCAAAGAGCAGCAATTGGACTTGAAGGTTGATGTAAGTTTCCACCATTCTGTTTCCTGTTGTCTTGAAGCTCCCTCTGCTGAAATGCACCATGAAAACAGGAGAACGGCTGGATGTATCATGATCCGGCCGAAGCATCAGCAGCTATCGTATTTTCCGATCTTCCCCTTGAAGAAGGTGCCGCCTGGATAAGGAAGTTCCCCAGGCACTCCGCTCTTAGTTTCGTTGGCGAATTGACCCATGCTGGGTACAAAGACATCCCAGTGTCGTATTTGCTCTGCGAAAAGGACCTGTGCATCCCAGCAAACGTTCAGAGAGAAGGGATTGACCGGATTGAGAAGGAGAGCGGGAGGAAGGTTGATGTGACGAGTATCAAGGCAGATCACTGCCCCATGGCTGGCCAGCCCGAGGTAGTGGTCGACTGGATTCTGAGCGTTGCGGAAAAGTATTAAGATAGTGGAAGGGGGTTAAACTGAGGTCGAAGAACCAAAAAAATGACACATTTGACCAGTCCGGACATTAACTTACAGAAGATGTGCCGGTATCGAACTTGAGCTTCACGTGTCGGCCTAAGAAATGGGTCCTCAATAGAACAGGAAGCCCCATTTGACGGCAAAATAACTCTCAATCTTCCAGGCTTTAGGATCCCACGAGGCGAGGCCAGGCACGATGTTGAAGCTTGGCATAGTGAATAGGTCTCGGGTGAATTCTTCTTCGTCAATGACGGCACACATATTGATGAGGTTATCTCGCAATTTGGAAAAGGGAAATCTGTCTATGCCCGGTTGATGAATCGTGAGCAGTTGAGTCGGCGTGGGTTGTAATGATAGTGGCACGGTGGAAGAAGCAGGGGGGGATAGTGCCGGAACAGCCGAGCAAGCTTTCAAGCCTAGAATCATGCCGTTGATAAACAAGGCGCTGAACACGGTGGGTGAGGGACGAATCTCATAGCTGAGGTTGGTAGTATGCGCAGCTATTGAGGATTGAGGTGATGGACTCGTGTGCCCCGTCGAGGAAGCTGTAAAGTTCTCGAAGCATGCCATGGTGGCAACACTGATTTGAGATCCAACCTGAGCAAGGACGTCAAGGCTGGAGGGGGTACGGTCTTCTGTTTGCGTGGCACGACTTGTGTGATCCATCTCGTGTGTATCCTGTTTGGCCGCTCGAATTCGTTTGCCTGGAACAGGAATTAGCATGAGTACTGCGCATCAAGCGACAGACAAAGCAGAAGCAGGAGCTTGGGATAACTTGAACAAGTACATCGAGTTCCAGGTTATTGCATCACCGGCCACAAGCAAGAGACAAAAAGACGAACAGCTCGATTCGAGGGAAAATGTAAAGCGGTGCGACACTACAGGTTCCTGGCGAACCTAGGAGGTTGAAGGATACCTACGTCTTGCACGTTGAGCTAGCTTGTCTTGTATACGCTTTCTCGTCTTTGCGTCCTCGACACCGTGCCAATTGTCTTGATCACCCACAGGTGGCTGGACATCTGCGGGTGGGGTCTCCATGATCAGGGTGATCAGAAGGTGTGGAGACTAGCTTCTCTTCCGCTAGTGGAAAGAAACCTTTGTAAGTACTACAAGTAGATGGACAGCGAGGTAGTTGAATGTGGTGGATTTCGTATAGAAAGAGGACGAAGTCGTTGCAGCAAAACCTGACTGCCTGACTACGAGTCACGTGTGTTGAAAAGCTGACAAATAATTGCATATTTCTATCTTACAGCCGACCCTACTAATACGGCGGACCAGAAGTCACAACCAGAACCAATATCAGCTGATGGCCATCTCTGGTAGCATCCTCCAATCCCTGGTGCCCACATAGCCTCCATGGTCACTTTTGCTGACGGTCCCATGGTTGCGTCAGCACCCTGCGTATCGATCAGTATTCAATGCGCACAGCCCAAAAAGAGACCAGCTCACCCACTTTTAAACCCCTTGAGACATTGTGTTCTGTATCTGGAATCTGCAACGCCGATCATGGCTCGCTCTGTAGCGTCACAGCTGGAGCGGCTACCCCAAACAACAAATTGCCTCAAAACAGTGCCATACGAGTGGACACAGAGGTGTGAGACCGCACAACCAGAGGAAAGACAGCGTCTGCGAGTATTCCATGAGATGCAAATGCATTTAAAGCTCTGGATTGTCGAGATACGATGAAAAATCTCAACTTCCCACGAGTCATCACGCTCGTCTCATTTATATCTATTGTCCAACTACTAGCCAGTAATCAAGTTCTTTGGTAAGAAATGCCGCTGGTCGAATTGGCGGCGGTGCGCCTACACCCGTCGTTGACTTCCAACCTACCCGACTCCTTCACGGCAACGTGGACTCGAGCCTGCGCCCTCGCTACATCTGCAGCAAAAGGAATTCCTTTCCAAATTTACCACTCCACAACCCCGTCAAGCAAGGACGTGTACTATCTTGTCGGCGGCTGGCAGAGCGGTGACGATCACATTGCCTTCCTCTCGACCCCCGACGCGGTCATTCTAGCCAAGAGTATTGGCGAATACATGACCGTGGAGCTTGTGCAGCATATTGATGGAGACATTAGGGTCTTGAACGGGGGGGAAGGAGAGAGGCCTAAGAGACTGAAGGTCACAACATATAAAGTTCCAGAATCAATGGCCGATAATTGGGCATTGAAGTGGAACAACAGCCAACTTGCAGGTGCTGGAGCTGGCGGATGGGATATGAGCGTTTCGGTGCAGAAACAACACAAAGCCTTCAAACAGATGGGTGAGGCGACGAACAGTGTTACTGCATTCGGCGGGAAAGAAGAGGGTGGCAGCAAAACCTGGGTGTGGCTCGAGGACAGTGGCAACGAGTTTGGACAAACTGAAAGACCTGAGCTCCCTTTCGAGGGATTTGACGCAGTTCATGCCGAAGCGTTTGAGATGGAGCATGTATTGGGATAATCGCCAAATTGTTAGCTGAGAGGTACAACAACCCAGTATAGGAGCCGATTATGCTTGTGATGTTTCCACCTCTTCTTGGCTCTGAAGCTTGTCATAATCAGTGTTCAAAGTCTCAGCGCTAGAGAGTGCCGGTGTATAAGATTGTCCATATAGGAGGCAGGACAAATAAGAATTGTCTTCCGCGGCAGATGGAAATGCTCTATGCACCAAAGACAACGAGTCTGGCGCTGACACACTGCAGGGTGAGGTGAATCTTTATGCATCAACCAGGTTACTGGATAATACCAACCAGGTAAGCTGAGTGCATAAATGGCCTAGCCCTTCTCACAGCTGCGCTTGACAAAACTTGTAACATTTACAGTCTTTCCCCATCGAATCTCCGACGAGAAGTTGGCCTTGTCATTTGCTGGTTGGAGTCGTTTGCAACGTGGAAATTCGTTTAGTTGGCAACGGGCTTAACCCGGCCTGTCAAGCGGCTGATTCTGATGATTCAGCGCTGATTACATTCCAAGTTGGTTCCCGGGCGCAAATATTGAGTGCCCGATCATTTTTGACGTCAGACTGGGGTTTTTATCTGAACAGAGAAACCTCGATGAGCAATATTTCAGTCGAGATCCATACCGCCGCCGGGGACAACGACTGGTGGGGGTTGATTCAGCCGATGATAGTCTGCCCAGTTCTGCATCTGCACCGTCTCAGACGACTGCGGCTGAACACTCTCCGGGCCTGGTGTACTTTCGGCTCGCAATACCTCATCCCCTTCAAAAACCATAGGTTGGCATTTGAGATTGTGCAGGCACGTATCCCACGTTCTGCCGACCAGTTTGCCTTCCAACAGGCTTTCACTGAAGAGGAAAAAGCCTTCCTGGCAGCCGACAAGGTAGGCGTCGAGTCCAGCATTCTTGAGGA